ATTCTACTGCTTAATTGTAAAATGCAGTTAAAATTCTCATTCTAAATATATTGAAAGTGACAAATCTGCGATTACGAACCATTTGCGTGTATTCTAATCAGTGCTTGTTATTATAATATTATTATTATTTATTTTTTAAATAATATGCATTTATAGTTAAGCTATTACGACGGTAGACATTTCAATTGTTTACTGAGAGAGAATGATATAGCGCTAAATTCATCGTTTGTACCGATTTTAGCCAATAAAGTAAATAAATATTATAATTGCCAATATAATTATAATGTGAGTTATATGATACGCAATTGTGGTAGGATATAAATATAAATCTATTAAATTGCTTTCAAATGAGAATTCTTTATAATAACGTTGAATAGTTAAGCTTCAATTTCTGATTTACAAAAATCGTTGAACACTTATATGCATTTCTAAACTCACATTTTAGGAAATACTACTAAACTTGTAAAAACTTAAATTCGAGATAATTAGAAATATATATTTGTCATATAAAAAAAATAAAATGACGATGGTATACATGATTGTATAGAGCCTGCCTGACGGTACATGGTACTTACTACTAGAATCTATTCTAGATATTATAAGCAGATGTATAAACAATACACAATACACCCAAATTACTAGTAATATGATAGTACCACTACTACAAATGTGAGAATGAAATTATTAGTAAAATAAATAATCAAATTAGAATGACAATTTCGCTGTAATTTTGAAAATCCTATACTTTTATAATATTGGTGTTGAAGTATGGATAAATAAACACCGTAATGAAATCCGCTGCCGCCTGTAAATTAGACCTAAAACGTTGGCAGTATCGACAGGCGCATAAGCATGACATGTGTATGTATAATGCATGAACGAGTGGGAGCCATGTCCCAATAGTTTAAACCGTTAATCCGTCAATGGACGTCGCGATTTGGCACGCGATCGGTCGACCCGATCTGTTCGGTCGAGATGGCAATTCACGGTACAGATCTAACTACATCCAACTGCCGATCGAATTTCGCTTCTACTTGTACTAGTATTAATCAATAATAATCGAAAGATACGCTTTTTACGAGATAGATAGATGAAGATAGATTCAACAAAATATTATTGCATTTTCATCTCTCCAGAATTGAATAGGCTTCTTCACATGGTTATCACACTTTTACAGAGGTGTGTAAAAAATAGAAACTCTATTACGAGAAATGTGTCATATCAGGCCAACCGCCACGCGTTCCCTAATACAAACTATCAGCATCTTCTTCCTTATCCCATTTATTTGAGGTCGGCGTAATATGTTTTTCTCTTCCATTCAGTCGTTATTTACTCCCTTTCTTGAAATATCAACGTTCACACAGTCCATCCATATGTTTTTCAGCCTTCCTCTGCTCTTATAACCATCCACATTGATATGTAACAATGCAAACCATTGTGGTAAATTTCTGGAGAATTAGCAAAGATGGGTTAACTGATCTAATTTCATTCTTGTCATCTTCAATTAGAGTAAGTTTTTGACCAGCATATATCATTAGCATAGACAATGATTATTGTCTATGCTAATGATATATATATAGTTGTTTTTGTTGACGATGCATTGATTAATGCATCGTCAACAAAAACAACTATTCTACAGTACTGTGCCTAGTATTATTTATTTGATGGTTAGTAGTTACTATTTCGTTGCAGGTTTTGCGCATAACTTGAATAAAATATCTTCTTACATCTCAGTTTCATAATCATTGATTTGCCTTTATCCCTCTATTTGGGGTCGGCGCTGTATGTCATCTTCCCCTTGATCTATCAATGATTTTCTATTTTATTTTATAATAGAGGACCTATACAACAGAACAAAGAATTACAACACTGCCCTCGTATCCAAAAATAAGTCGATTGGAATTTTCCTCCATGAAAAATCGCATTTAAAACATCTTATACAAACAGAGCAAGTCAACGAACGGAATGACCGTTACGGAATAAATGCCTCTTGTTTTTAGTTTTTGTCACTGTTTGATTTATGTTTTAAGTATTTCTTTTGTAGCGTTAATCAATGACATAGACAAAAAATATTTGTGTCTCTGGTTTCCATTACTATTAAAAAATCTATGGTTAACTATTAAAAGTCTATGAAACGTTAATTTTGCAAATATAGTGATCTCGGTGATCTAGTGACACTGATTTCCTTCTAATGTTCGAAAATTTGATTGTTCAATCCATATAGATATTATGTATGTTTTTACAAAAATATGTATACATCTAAATATATATACCATTTGTCTAGTATCCATAACAGAAACTCTGCTTAGCTTGGCATGTTGTTAATATTAAATTTTACACATATTCTTTAAGTGTCTAGGGACTAAAACTGTTAATAAAATGATATATGTCACCGTTCATCTGAACAGGAATAGCTCAGACATTGGTACCTACAATAATAACTACGTACGAAATCTACGTGAGAAAAATTATGCCGACTAAATAGTTCTTGAAATGGTTAGCACAATAGATCTCCGTAGGCCACAATGCTATAATAAGCTAAAATACTTTGAAATAACACTAACCTCTAAAAATTTAGTACTTCCAGGATAAGTCTACACATATTTTCATCCCCTATTTTATTTCCTCCTAGATCATTATTTTGATAAAAATATACCTCGTAATACAGTCTACCTTTATGTAAAATTTAATTAAGATCAGTTCAGCAATTTAATCGTGAGATGTTACCAAACAAACAGACAGACGCTTTCGTATTTATAATATTAGCATTGACATTTTATAAAACTCTGCTTGTTGTACTTTCTTGGGCACTGGGTATGCCTTTTCTCACAAATGTACTGTTAACATAGTGTCTCTGTCAAGGGAGAGACAGGTCCCTTGTCATCATTGTACGATCGTGACAGGTGGATAATTGAATTCATACTTGTATAGAGTTGCGAAATCGAAAGCAACATTGTTAATACTTATATAAATTGTATTGGCGACCTCCGAGGTTTAGCAGTTCACTCTCTTATGATCACGAGTTCGATTCTCGTACAGTACAAATATCAATGATTCATGAATACATCTCTTTGTATACATCTTGATGCACATTCCATATATTTTTATGTGTATCAGGTCTTTAATAATAATAATTTATTATGCACAGAGAAGACAAACAAAACTATATAGCAAGTATATAAGAAAGTAAAAACAATAGTCTTGTGGCTATAAGCATTTTTTTACGGACAACCTGGAAAAGAGGAGTTATAAACATAGAAAAAGTAAAAAGGTATTGTGATACACACAAAATATTATATTTACTAAACGAATAAATAAACATACATGATATAGCCACAGATATATAAACTTACACATACGCCACATATTGAAATGTAGCAGAAAAATATATGAATAGCTATCATCGCCTATATACTTAAAAATAAAAACACATGAACTTCACGTCATTATGTGACACCCGCAGTGGCACTCATGTATTACCATTCACTAAGACGCCTCTTCATTATCCGGTAAATCTGCCTATCTCACCTTATGGCAGAATGGGTGAAATAGGCAGATTTACCGGAATACTTTCAGCAAATACAGCTTAATAATAATAATAATCTCGGGACAATTCACACAGCGCCAACTAGACCCAAGTTAGGCTAGCTGAAGCTTGTGTTATGCGTACTAGATAACTGATACATATACATAGATTTTATTTTTGTAAATACATACATATTATACATAGAAAACACCCAAACTGATACAAACAATCATACTCATGAATACAAATGTTTGTGCCGTGGAATCGAACCCGCGACCATCGGTCGTAAAGCGGTGTGCTAGACCGCTGGACCACCGAGGTCGTCAAAAACTACAAAACTACTTTAGGTATATTAAGACTAGTTGTCCCGGCAAACGTTGTTTTGCCACATAGAGTAATAACGCTATAAAAAAATAGGGGTTGATAATAGAAGGGTTGTTCGAGTCAAAATAGTTTTATACTAGTACAACTAGATGGCGCTGTATTTTTGCATAAATATTTCTAAAACACTCTAATAAGATATTTTTGTTGTTCCTTATATAGATATGTAATTTTTTATTTAGGCACTCCGCTGACCGACGCGCTAGCGAACGCACGTATGTGCTCGCTAGTCCCGCCGCCGTCTCGCTGTTCTCTGCTCCCTCGAGCAAACCATCGCGCGCGCGCACGTAGCGCAGTTACGTTCGCGCGTTCTTATTCATATACTTCGCCGCGTGTTAGGTGCACTCGGTGCACCTAGCGTGGCCCGGGCCTCCGTGTCCCGCGCCGACCGCGGCCGACCGCGCTCTCGGCATCCGTTCCGACACAGTGCTACCGGACTTTCCGCGTGTGTAGTGTTGTGTTGTGAGGACTGAAGGAGAAACTCTCTTCGTTCAAGTGAAGTGAAGTGTTGTGTGTGGACGTTCAGTGGCACGGACTGTCGTGAGTTAGGGAGGTGCGTCACGCCTATTGCGCGACGCGCCGATCCGAGCCGCCGCCGCTGCCACCAACACCCGCCGACGCCTGCTGCCTGCCGCCCGCCGCCGACGCCACCAAGTAGGTTCGCTTAGGTACACATTTTTCACTCAATAAGATTAGTGATCTTACATATTAGGGTCACATATCAATAGGCACTCACCCCCTGCCTCACCCGGCAGGAGGCCCCCGCGACACCGTCGGCTGCACCCGCCGACGACCGTCCTTATCTTAAGTATTTTGACTTACCCTATTGTTTCATTGTTTTGTATTGTTATTGTATTGTATTGTATTGTTATTGTATTTTTTTATATTACTATTTCTACTCTTATTCTATTCTTTTGAACAGTGGTAATTAACATTACCACTGTTCAAAAAAATGTCCTTATCAGAGGCCGATATGCCTCTGTTCTTCCAGTTCCTGGAAAAAAAGTGTCCCGGCATCTTAAATGCTTTTATAGCATTCAAAGCCGCCAAGCCCGTCCACTTAGTGTACAGCTCGCTCCCCGCGTCCCCAATGATGACTCACACTGACGAACCGAACACTGACACTGACGAATTCGAGGACGACTCGCAACGGCTCCCGCCGCTTCCCCCGACCCAAGCCGACCAGGCCGAACCCGCCTCGCCCGCCATGGAGCAGGACGACTCCGTCGCGGAGCTTGACGCTCCTAGTATGGAGCTCGACGCCATCCGCGACGGCGACGTCCCCTCTCCCATCCCCCGGTCTCCTCAGACGAGGACGATTTTATTCTTGTTGGCAACAAGCGTGCCAAGAAGACCCAGGGCTCCCAGCCAGCCAAAACAAAGCGTGCCCATGACGGCACCGCTAAAACCGCCCCCGGTCCGAGTGCACGCAAGTCGCACCCCGAGACCAAAGCCCCGCCCCCCGTCATCATCCAGGACAAAAGTGCCTGGAACACCGTATCCAATATGCTTAAAAACAAGCATATCAATTTCAGCCATGCTAAGGCTACCTCAATAGGGATCAAAGTATCAGTCCCATCATCTGACGACCATCGTCGTCTCACCACCTTCCTGCGGAGAAAAACATAGGTTATCACACCTATGCTCTCGAGGAAGAGAAAAAGCTCCGCGTTGTAATACGCGGTTTACCCAAGGAGCTCTCAACAGACTCCATCCTTGAGGACCTTCAGTCCCAGAATTACCCAGCGCACGAGGTACATCGTATGTACCAGTCGCGCTCACGCAACAAGGCCGCTATCGACCTTGTTCTAGTCATTAGATTTATCCCCAGAAGGCAAATCGATCTTTGATATAAAGAGCGTTTGCCAACTATCCTCACTCTCCGTAGAGGCGCCTCGCAAGCGTACCTACCCCGGACAATGCCACCGTTGTCAGAACTACGGGCACTCTGCCCGTAATTGTTTCGCTCGCCCACGGTGCGTCAAGTGCCTAGGCGATCACGCCACCGCAGATTGCGGCCGTAGGCCCAACACCCCCACGCCCCCAGTTGCACCCTCTGCCTCACAGAGGGTCACACCGCGAATTACCGCGGTTGTTCACGCGCCCCACGTCCCGCCAAAAAGAAGGCCACCCACACCCAGGGCAACCGTGCTCCGGCACGTGCCCCCGCCAAGGCTCAAACACAACCCGAGCCACTCGTACCCCCCCTCTGCCTGCTAACAATGCCTGGATTAAACCCCCGGCAATTGTAAGCAAGGTAGCACCCAACCCGCCCGCCCAGAAAGCCCCGCCCGCCCAGTCGCCCCCGCCCGCCCAATCGGCCCCGCCCATGCCCATACACAAACCCGTCCCCAAAACACTGCCCGCGGCCCCCAAGGCCAACGGCAGCTCCCTCGCGCAGGACTTCGCATTGGTCGCTCGCTTAGCCAGCACCATCGACCCTAACGAGATTGCCCTTCTGGCCTCCAAGCTCCGCCTGTATAAGGAGTCGCCCCAAAATAGGCTCGCAGCCGTCTGCGAGCACATCGGCGTACTTACCGCCATCCTCAATTTTAACCTGTAATTATGGGTACTCGAGCTCAGAGAGAAAAGCCTCGGTCCGTTCGAATAGCGTTTTTTAACGCGTTCGGATTAAAAAACAAAAGGAGGAAATCGCCTCCTTTCTCACTGACCACCAAGTCGATATTCTCCTCGTGCAGGAGACCCTACTGAAACGTTCAGTCCGCGATCCTAGAATCGCCAATTACAACTTAGTTAGGAACGACCGCACCGCCTGTAGAGGCGGCGGTACGCTCATATACTATAAACGGTCCCTACATTGTATACCGCTACAAACACCGCCTCTCACTCATATGGAGGCCTCCGTCTGTCTTCTCGGCATGACCGGCCACCGACCGCTCGCCGTGGCATCCGTATATCAGCCTCCCGGCAAACTACTGCTGGAAAGCGACCTACGCGCCCTCCTAGATATCAACAGCGCCACCATTCTGGCTGGCGATTTGAATTGTAAACACACCCGCTGGAACTGCCACGTGTCCACGACAAACGGCCACAAACTAGACAGACTAGCCGACTCGCTCGAATTCGAGATAATCGCCCCGCTCCGCCCTACTCATTATCCCCATAACGTGAACCACCGACCCGACATACTGGACATGGCACTGCTGAGGAACGTAACCCTACGGGTGAGCTCCCCAGAAGTCCATGCCGAGCTTAACTCGGACCATCGACCGGTAACCCTCCTTCTGGGCCCTCCGCCCGACACGCCACTACCAACCAAAACAATAACAGACTGGCAACGACTCGAGAAATCTCTCGAATCGACCGACACACCGATACTAAACCGTATTCCCGACGTCATAGAGTCCACCGAGGACACTCTCATTGCGATCGACTCGCTTACTAACCACCTGCAGTCGGCAGTCAAGGACTGCTCCAGGGAGGTACCGGCGACGGACGACCGTCGCTGGCAGCTCCCCGATGACGTAAGGAGGTTAATAAGCGATAAGAACGCAGCCACTAGAGCGTACGATCGCTACCCCTCCGAACCGAACCGGGTGCGCCTGCGAGCCTTACAGCGTAGCGTTAAGGAGCGCATCGCGCAGATCCGGGACGGTCGGTGGGGCAAGCTCCTAGAAGAGATAACACCATGCCACACCGCGTACTGGCGCATAGCGAAATCTCTCAAAACCGACCAACAGACAAACGACATGCCCCCGCTAGTCCGACCCGACAACACTATAGCCTTCTTCGACGAAGACAAGGCTGAGTGTCTAGCGTCCAACTTAGAAGCCCAATGCTCCCCCAGCACGCTCCCAGTCGAGGCAGGTCATCTCGAGAAGATAGACACCGAAGTCGAACGCATCGCGTCCACCCCGCCCACCGAATCCCTCTCACCAGTCACGCTTGATGAGGTCAAAACGCTAGTTAAACAACTACCTATCAAAAAATCACCCGGCTCAGACGGCATATCGAATAGATTAGTCAAAAGTCTGCCATCCCAACTTTTGTTATTACTCGTCGCTATTTTTAACGCGGCGCTGTCCAACGCTATATTTCCAGACAGCTGGAAAGAAGCCGTGGTCATTGGCATCCCCAAGCCCGGTAAAAATAAATCCGACCCGTCCAGTTATCGTCCTATCAGCCTCCTCAAGGCTATAGGCAAGCTTTACGAGCGAATCCTCCTCGCCCGCCTAAAGGAGTTTATATACTCCAAAGGCCTGCTCATCAATGAGCAGTTTGGCTTCCGAGCCAAACACTCATGCGTCCATCAAGTGCACCGCATCACGGAGCACATTCACAAAAACACTCTGTACTTCGCCACCAAGTCCCCCAAAGGCGGTACAGGCGTCCTATTTTTCGATGTGGCTAAGGCTTTCGATAAAGTCTGGCACAACGGCTTGATTTACAAGCTTCATCAGTTAGGTGTCCCCGACAGGCTAGTACTCATTGTACGAGATTTCCTGTCGAATCGCTCTTATCGCTACCGTATAAACGGAGCGTTATCCGACCCGCACCCCATACGAGCCGGCGTCCCTCAGGGCGCCGTCCTCTCTCCGATGCTCTACTCGTTGTACACCAACGACATCCCCAAATTCTCCGACTTAAAAGTCGAAATATCGCTGTTTGCCGATGACACGGCTCTCTTTACATCCGCCAAGTCCCGTGCGACAATAGCCAGACGGCTTCAGAAAGCCGTAACGATACTGGGCGAATGGTTCCGTCGGTGGCGCATAGAAGTCAATCCCGAAAAAAGTGCAGCAGTGTACTTTAGCAGGGAATTCGACTCTATGAATCACCCGATCGAACTATTCGGCCAAAACATCCCGTGGGTTTCGAAAACGAAATATCTCGGCGTCACCCTAGATAGGAAACTAACGTTTCGTCCTCACATCAAGCGTGTCCGCGACCGAGCCGCCTTTATACTAGGGCGACTCTATCCTTTTATTAACAAGCACAGTAAAATGTCGCTTCGCAACAAGCTGACATTATACAAGGCTTGCATCCGTCCCATCATGACCTACGCTAGTCCCGTATTCGCCCACATACCCTACTGCTTAATCAACAGACTGCAGGTCATTCAGAATAGGTTTCTGCGTCGAGCCACCGGTGCGCCGTGGTTCGTTCGCAGCGTAGATCTCCACCGCGATCTTAATCTGCCCTCCATCAAGCAGTTTATGAAGGAAGCGTCTCGACGCTACTTCGACTCTGCCCAATCCCACCCTAATCCGCTTATAGTCAGTGCGGTCGACTACGCACCGAGGAGTAATATCCGACATACGCGACAACGTCGCCCGAGGCACGTTCTCATTGACCCCGACGACCCCATAACGGCAGGTAACCTCCCCACGGGCCCACCCGTTCCACCCCGACCACACTTTTACACACACACACGACACCGTCCTCGCCGGCGAAGACGACGACCTCAAACACACAATATCGCGCATTCAACCGGGCGCCTGCGCGCGCCCGGGCGCTCCACACCGGCGCCCCCGGGCGCCCCTCCGATCGATCCCCCGTCCAATTCAAACGGGGATCGAAATTACGACGGCCTGAGCCGAGGTTCGAACCCCTAGTGGTGCCCTCAGACTAAAGTCGTATCCGTCGGGCAGGAGTTGGCCTTCAGCCGCTCCATAAGTCCTTCCGCGGGTTTGGAGTGCCATCTGCACTCGCCCCATAACGTCCGGTGAAGCTGTAAAGGCCAGCTACGGCCAACAGCATTAGAGTAGTCCGAAAAAAAAAAAAAAAGTGTGCGGTCTCTTTTGGTCGACAGACGTGCTCTCGAACGAATCTCCGTATCATACTTGTTTGCTTTATAAGTTCTTGTACTGATTTTGTTAAAATTAATTATACGATTTGTTATAAGTTTCTTTTATTTAATTAAATTTAGAGCATATTCCTAACATCAGAAGTGGGATTCGAGGCCATTTTTGGTCGCGAATAACATTTTTGACTAAGGATTGATTACATGTCGAGTAGAAAACGCCCATCGTTACGAGAGCACGCGTCTCCGTTCTCCACCTATCAAATATAGGTGAACTAGCAGCGTTAATGGACGCAAGTCTCAACAATTGGTGTCGCTGGAACAACGTGCGGTAGCTCAGCGAAACAGGGGTTCGCATATAGCTGCCGACGTAGATGCTGACGACGTGCCTGCGCCGGCACCGGCCCCGCCGCGCTGTCGCCGCCCGCGCAGACAGTCGGCGCGCCAGCCAGACCCGCCAACACGGCGCCAACGAGCGCACCTGGTGCGGTGGCGCGATCGGTTGCTACCTCAACAGACATTACGAAACGTCTTATCGACGCTTAATGTCATGAATCTGGTGAGATCTTTCCATTTTTATATTTCATACTTTTAAGTATGCGCAACATTGACGAATAGTTGCGATGAAATAGATCGTGGTCATTCAGTGAACCGACAGACGGTGTCAGTTTTGAGGTTAAAAAGTGAAGCAAGCGCGTAGTAACGTGAGTGGGCTAGTGATGATCATACTTGGTCATATATGATGGCAAACTACGTAGTATAGAAGTAGATTCTCAAATACGGTGCTATAGTTGCAATATAGTCGGGTATAGAAGTAAATTTAGTTCTTTTGAAAAAAAAAAATAACCTACGGACAAAATCGTATATGCGTTTTATAAGAAGATAGGTCATACTGAATACGTTTACTTTACAAAGAAATAATCTGAATTAGGCTAACGCAAATTTTCGCCGTGACTTGGACTAGTGATAATGCACATCGCGACGAAATTACCGCCGTAATATGCAGGTACCCACAGATGTTTAGTACGATAGTGGTTCAACAACTTCTTTTTTAATCAAATGATCGTTTTCGTGTTGTAAGGTGCACATATTATGCTGTTTAGGCGAAACGGATATGCGGTCTGGTTATACCCACAGATGTTTAGTACGATAGTGGTTCAACTTCTTTTAAATCAAATAATCGTTTTCGTGTTGAAAGGTGTACATATTATGCTGTTTAGACGAAACGGATATGCGGTCTGATTATACCCGCAAATGTTTAGTACGATAGTGGTTCAACTTCTTTTAAATCAAAAGATCGTTTTCGTGTTGTAAGGTGCACATTATGCTGTTTAGACAAAACGGATATGCGGTCTGATTATTTTCTTACTTTATCTGCAAAATTCAATAACATCTCACAAGAAGTAACTTCTTAATACCTTGTGAATATCTGAAACACGCCAGTACTCATTGGTAACGATATTTTTAATATTAAAAGCGCGAAAAATCATTCACGCGTTGCGCATTTGTCTGGAGTGGACGTGTCGTTATACATAACTGCCTACTTTGTGCTTCGAAGGAATCGTACATTTGTTATATTTGTTTATTATTGTGTCTATTGAGTGGACGCCACGTAAATATGTCCCTGCAACGTACACCACCGAAGTTCTCCTCAAATCCTGACATAAGTGCATCATCAGCCTCAGTGACTGACAAAAGTAATATAAATTTGCGGAAACGTAAACAACCACATGACGAAACAAGTAATATATTTTGTGAATTGGAGAAAAAGTTTAGTGACCAATTAAATATCTGGAATA